GGCGGGGGGAGGGTGACGGGTCAGGGGGATCCTGCTCGAAGGGTCCGTGCCTCCGCCTCCGCTTCTGGCGTGCGCGCACGATCGCCGCTCGATAGTGTGGCCCGCGCTGGCTTCAGATCCGGGTGATCTCGTGCTTGCCCAGCAGGCTCGCGGCGAGGCGGCCGTGCTCACCCACAGCATGGAAGTCCATCCGGGCGCGCAGCGGCCGTTTCTTCCCCACCTGTCGTAGCCCCATAGGGGAGCTCCGCCGACGGTCCCAGTTCAGGAGGGAAAGACACACACAGACACAATTAACCGTCCATTCCCAGGAAAATATGGGAAACTATGGGAAGTGAGGGGAAGACAAAAACCCATAATATATGGGAAAATATGGGGAATCCGTTTATTTGTGTGCACTTATTTGTGTGTCCCTGGGCCCCTTCACCAGTGGCAGAGGCCGCGTTCTTCAGGTCCCCGCAGGGTGCCAATGCGTCCTTTTTGCTCGTCCCCCTCCTCCTGCTCAATTGCCTCACGGTGGTCGCCGCTGCCTGCGATTGGGTCTTTCGCCAGACGGTTTTTTTGTTGGGGGGGGGAGGGGGCACTCCCCAATCAGTGGGGGTAGGTCAACGACCTGGTGGATCGCCAGGCTGATGCTGCTGCCCACATGTTCCCCAGTTTCCCAGGGCCAGTGCGCAGAACGTGCAGAGTGCCGAGAAACTACCGAACCGTGTTCGCAAGCGTCCCCTGGCTGTGGTGGAAGAATGTGCGCGCGGATCCTCGGGGGGCGGGGGGAATGGAGCACATTCCACCACGGGCTCAAGCTCGCCAACGCCACTGTCTTCGACTCGGCCCTGTCGGCCACGACTCGCGACATTGTGCGGTATCATGTCGCTGCTGCCTCGGGAGCCGGGGGGGGGTCCGAACAGGACAGCCCAGCCCTGTCGCAACGTCCAGAACGAAACGTCATCGAGTTACGCTGCAGCGCCGCCCGGCGCGAGGTTTGCGGGTCGGAAGACCTGCGAATCCCTCTCGGCCCGAGCCCTCTGCCAGGTGCCCGTTTTCCTGCCGCCTGCGGACTCCTCTGGGAGAGGTCGGGGTCCTGTGGGGGCCGGCGGAGCCCTGCCGTCTTGCAGCCGAGGCTGGCCTGACCGACCTGCAGCCCCCCGGTGCGCGGGATCTGGCCCGGCCTCCTCGCGGGCGTCGAGGGAGCGCGGTGCGCAGAACGGCCCCCCCCCGGCCGCGAAGCAGTCGCGCGACGAACGGGTCCAGGCACCCAGGCGTGCAGGACATTGCTCACCCACGACAGCACATGTTGACCAGCGTGGGCGCCAACCAGTGTGTGTTCCAGCACTCTGTGCAGATCATCTTGCGTGGTGCAATCCATCCGGTGCGATATCGATTGTGCAATCTAGGTTGTTCAAGATACGCCGTACATTCTATATTGTGCATTCTTCGTGGAGCAACATAGGTGGTGCAGTCTATGTGGTGCAACAATCACTTGCTCAACTTGAAGCTGTCCTCTCCACTGCTCGCGCAAACATCCCACCCTCCCACCCGCAACTTGGTTTGCAAAACCTCTTAAGACCGACTACGACGACACCGACGACAACGACGACGACGACACCGACGACGTCTCCGACGACTTCGACGACGACAACGACGCCGACGCCGACGACGACGAGACGACGACGACGACGACGCCAACGAAGGCGACGACGAGGGAGGAGGAAGGACGACGACGGCGACAACGACGACAACGACGACAACGACGAGGGAGGAGGGAGGACGGCGACGACGCGAACGACGACGAAGGAGGAAGGACGGCGACGCCGACGACGACAACTACGAGGGAGGAGGGAAGACGACGACAACGACGACGACGACGACGACGGCGACGAAATAGAACCGACGACGAGACGCCGACGATGGACGACGACGACGACGTGGGAGGAGGAGGACGGACGACCACGGCGACAACGACGACGGAAACGACCACGACGCCAAAGAGGACGACGACGACGAACACGAGAAAAAACAGAGGACGACGTAGGCGGCGACGACGACGACGACGCGGGAGGAGGGAGGACGGCGACGACGAAGACGACGACGACGCAAGAGCGCCCGCGCGCACGCTTTTATTGAAAATCCGTGTTGCGAAACCTTGGGTTTTTGGGCGTTTTCTGGACGCACGATTTTGAAATCCTTCCGAAACCGATGGGTTTTGAAGGTTTTCGGCATACGCCCGCGACGACGCGCGCGTCTGCATTTCGTCCCGTTTTTTGCGGAGGATTCTCGCGACGGCACACGCGCAAGGGCGTTCGACAGATTTCGACATGCGCGCGCGAAGCCCGTTTGGTAGCATTTTGTGAAAATCTTGAAAACCTATGGTTTTCTTAAGATTTCGCAAGAGCTCGCGCGGAAGCTTTTTTAGCAAATCAGTGTTGCGAAACCAAGTGTTTTTTGTATGTTTTTGGGAACTCGATTGCGAAATCCTTCCGGCACCGAAGGTTTTTGAAGGATT